TCCTTTAGCTAACTGGTTTCATCTCAAACATTACTAGTTTTCAATGTGTGTTACAATGTTATAAGTTTTCAATGTCATTTCAAGATAATCATCTCCTATAAATTTGCAATTTCGTGCCACCGCTATCCTCCGACCACACTAGAAGAATTTCTGGTTCTGGGTTTACCTGAAATCTAAGGTGTACACATCAAATCCACGAAATTAGTCAGAATTGAAAGATGCCATAAAACGTGAAGTTTTACAGATTCTTCCAGCGACGTTACGTTCGTCATTTTTGTCAGTAATCTCCCAGATGCAACTCGTTGACGTCTGCGTGGACACGTTAAAGAAACTGTAATTCCAATAAAAGTATTTTTTCCCTATCCTCTCTTCGGTTGTCATATAAGGGCTAATCAAATTGGTCCCCCATAAAGGTGTGTACCTTATACACAGTCAAAATAAGAAAACAATGCAACAGATGCATTGTCTCTGAAATTTCACTGGTGGGTGAGGATGCGATGACAGAAGACTAGCATCGTCCTAGGGGTGTGGCGGCAGTCCTATGACTCTTGAGCTACTGAAAGTTTTTAAATCCAAAAATTGCAATAAAATTAATACGAAAGTTACACATGTTGATCTTGTTTCTGCGTGTTTGCGCTATCTAAGAGAAAAAGCTACAAATGGCCTATTATTCCTGTCTTCTTCAATTATTTGCAAAGCCGGCGGACGTGTTCTGTGTAGCTTTATCATAAAATTTAGAATTTATTCTGTGCAGAAAATCAGAAATAAATTCCACTTTCAGGTCAGCATGCAGAGTTTTTTTTCTAACGTGGTATGGAGCTACGGTGATTATCCTGAGAATCTTGTTTTGAGTTTTTTTGAAGGGAATAGATGTCATTTTTGCTGGCGCTTGCCCAGGTAAGCGATGCATATGTAAGAATAGGCCAGATGACTGAGGTGTAAATTTGCCCTTTACGATATAGTGATACGAGCCGATCCTTTTGAAGGGGCTATAATCGCAAGGCTACTCCCCACGCTTTGCTGCGCACTCGTTTGTTCTGAGAAGACTATATGAATGAGCGATTTAATGTGACTCGTGATATGCGTATTGTTCCAACGCCATTTAATGTTTTTCAGTGACCTGATCAAATTACGCAGAAAAAAAGTGGTTGTGGCCTTTCAAAAATTTAAATAAAATTTCTTTCGATTGGTTGACCGGATAGGCCACTAGGAGTTCATACATCGGGAAAGTTTTTTATATCACCACCTTATACACGTACCTTTGAGTGGCTTCGGTGCCTTAGTCGGCAGCATTCGCTTGAAGAAAAGCCTGTACGAATTCTAATTTAATTAAAACAGAAAAAGAGGAAAACAGAGCTTTCGTTTCTAACAAACTAAGTAGACAGGGGCTCTTTACTTCTTGTAAATTGAGTATGGAGATACGTGCTCTCTACTTTTGGAATCAAGAATGTTTCTTTACCCACTGATTATCTAACAGGATTTGGTCAGTATACAATATTATTTTGCAGTATTAATGTGCAGTATTACTATTCAATACTACTAGTATTTATATTAAATATAGAACATACTTTTCATATTTTTTTTTATCAAATGGTGCACGCTTGTAGCTCAAGATTCACATATATCGAGGGAATAGTGATAAGGTAACATTAATAAAAAATGGTTTCGTTGTATGGTCACTAATTTTGAAAATACAAATATTATATACATACATACATATATATATGTGTGTGTATATAATCTTAAATTCACTTAGTGCGAAATCGAGTTATTCTACTACTTGCACAATAGCTGCAAGTACTTAATCTATTATTCTAAAGAAATTGGTTATATTATCTCCTAAGATTTTTAGTAGAATGTCTAAAAGAGTGAATCCATAGTTAGTAAGTTTAATCCGAAAATTTTTAAGGTAACTTGAATGTAAATTGTTAAAAATGTTTAACGGGGACTTAATCATTATAGCAAAATCAATGTAAAAAGAAATAACTTAAAGCAAGTAAAGCAAGTAATCATTGCCATTGATCGGAAATAGTGACTTTCAGGGGAACAAACCAAATAATGTATGTATGTATTATATATATTATTATAATATTATATAATAGAAGTAATTGCTGCAGTATACCGCTATGATTCAGGAAAACAATAAGTCCCGTTTCTTAATTGTCTAAACGTTCCTAAAATTTGTGAATTATTTTAGTAGACCTGCTGATGTTTAATTGCATATTTTTAAGGCTGAATGGTTAAGACAGCTTAAAACTGGGAAATCGACCCAGGTTCAGACTCAGGAGGACGGGCTGATGGCTAGATTGTTTTTCATGTTTTTCCCCGTGTGTAACTTGAATACGAGCGAATTTCTCTCAGAAAGTTCTCTACGAATGGATGCTTCCTTTAGGAAAACAGCCTTCGTGGTTTTGGCATATTCAAATAACTTAATCTAACAGGACCGTGAAAACTGGGACTTCAGTACGCGAGAGTCGACAGATTTAGAGAATTGCAATAAATTAAGAAGTTGGGGAAAAAGTCCACCAGCGATAAAATTAACACTAAATCCGCGCGATGCCATCAAGTTTGCCATCGGCTCTTGAATGGGCTGGCTGTATGGCACTTTTGAGAATTGCCTTATATGTAGCAAAACAAGTAAAGTTTTTCTTAGAAAGTATTCTATGACGACAGTCCCTTCTTTGAATGGGTAAGCCTAGTGCGCTTTCCTGTAAGTCAGGAATCCAGTCCAATAAAAAATATTCTTGCAGTTAGAAATTAAATTAAAATTCCTAAAATACTTGGCCGAAGATATGAGATGGGTCAGGCAGGCACTTGCCTGTGATTAAAAAAAATTAAATAGGATACAAAATATAGCAAATTAAAAAGTATCTGTATGTAAATATGAAAGTGATAAAAAGAATATTTAAGGCGAGCAACTTTTAGATTTGTACACTTTAAATACTTAACTTCAAATATTAAAACTTATAAATGTGTGTGTGTATTTAATTATGGCAAACCAAACTAGAGCTATCTGCTTAAGGGGAGGGATGCCTTCGTGGAGGGACTTTCTAAGGGAAACTGGCTCGCATACACGTTACACATGGGGAAACCACGAAAACACCCATGCAGCCAGCCCGTTCGGGGGATTCGAACCTCGGACCCGAACTACCAGTGTTCAGCGACTTTACCGCTCGGCCGCTGGTGGGCGCAAAAAACTTTTAAATATATCACTCAAAAATTAACTTAAATATTAAACATCAGATATTCGACTATATACTTAATTACTGGTCCAACAGCGGCCGAACGATTAAGTCACAGAACACTCTCAGCACAAATAAGGCTCAGAGCTACTGCACACTAATAAATTACACTTAACTGCTATACTAAAAATTAAAAGTTTTATGTTTAAGTCTTTAAACTTGAGGAGAAGATGACTTTTCACTGCAAAGCCGGACTGACATGTTTTTATATCTGCAGTTAATCGTTACTGATAGTAATCCATGTTATGCAAGTCACAGAACACTGGTAGTTCTGTCCGGAAGTCGAATTCCGGCGAACGGGCTGGCTGCATGGCCGTTTTCGTGGTTTTCCCCATGTATAACATTCATATGAACCATTTTTCCTTAAAATGTAGTCTACGATGTCATCCCGCCCTTCAGGCAGGTAGCCCTCGAGTGCTTTGCCATAATCAAGTGAACCAAGCCATGTATTTAACGATTAACTGCAGATATAAAAACATGTCAGTACGGCTTTGCAGTGAAAAGTCATCTTCTCTTCAAGTTTAAAGACATAAACATATAACTTTTAATTTTTAATATAGCAGTTAAGTGTAATTTATTAGTGTGCAGTAGCTCTGAGCCTTATTTGTGCAAAGAGATTTTGTTTCGAGACTTTTCTTTCCAAATTTGACTCTCATAACTACTTTACATTTTAACAAAATTTATTCAGATACTATAATAAAAAAATAAAATCACTTTACTATGGAGGCACCTAACAGGTGGTCACCGTTGAGTTATGTAATGAAACAGAGAATTTATATCCAGCCCTTCTCCGGGATTCGAGCCCGGGACCTTCGGTACGGCAGCCAGAGTCATTAACCACTTACCAGTCTGGTCGGCGTTACTTTGATGTATCAGCTATCAGTTTAGATATTGTAATGAGAACTACTTCACTGAGTTAATCCGTCAGTTAGAAAATAAACTTGCTTATTTATTTAATTAAAAGTACGGACTTTTCTCGTTGTGATACCCCCATAACACATGTCTTAGTGCCTTTTAATTTATATTTTACATTCTTTAAGAAATGGCTTTCGAAAAATAACTTAGCTGCCTTAATGCCGAGAAACATAATAAAAGATCCATTGTAACATTGTTGTTTACTTCCTTTGAGAACGAGTGTCCGGCTGTTACGTTGAGGAAGATTGTTGCGAGACAGATTGGACAGATTGGCGGCAAAATATGCAAGGGCTCTGTGAGAGATACATTCGTGGATAGCTTTATAAAAGCAACTAATGCGTAGTCACGGTATGCATATGGAAAATCACGAAAACTCCATGTAACCAGCCCGTTCACCGAAATCTATCACTCTGAATTATCAGTATTCAGCGGTCTTATCCGCTCGACGACAGGTGAGCAAATCGCAGTCATAAACCGACAATATTAAGTAGAAACATGCACTTACTACTAGTATATTGATTTTGTTTCTCTCTTGAATAAATGCTGTTTCGATAATCTTTTTATAAAAGTAATTTTAATTTTAAAATTTTGAAATTCAGATTTATTGAAAATTTTTAATTTTATGGAAGGTTAATGATCAACTCTGTGAATATAATGTATTTTAATAGGACATCAATTATAGGATTAAAATTTATAATCATAGGTTTTATTAAAATAAAATTATTTTTAGCTTGGCAAACTTGGCGACGAAAGCGAGCCTAAGCAACCACATATGGCTTACAAAATGAATAAACCAATTCCCACCAGAGCCATTGATCCTTATGTCCGCAAAGAAGACGGCCACTAGCCTTTACACGTCACGCGCTGTGTGGTTGTTCGGAGGAGCTCTTATGCCCCCTGCAAACTATTTCGTTGAAACCTTGATCCAAATGCCCGCGAAATCATGTTGAGTTCTTTTTGTAACATTGAGTACTTTTAAAAGGTACTTAAATTTCAAAAATAGTAATTTCATGAACTCAAAAGTAATGTTTAGTGTTTTTCATCACTTCTGCGAAGACTCTCGGTTCTATCCCGTCTCTTCCTGACGCATGCGCGTTACATTTCGTTCTTCCTATTATTCTCCAGCGGCATAAAACTAAATATTCTACTTTGTTTACTGTCATTCTCTGTGCGGTATTTTTGCTGCAGACTTATCATTTCATAGTTCAGTCACTGTACGATAAAGGTAAGATGTTTACTCATTCGTTTTGCTTTTAGCAACGTCTGTGTTTTTGTGGCTGGTTTTTTAAAGGGGTCACTCATAGGTGCGTCAACTGTGGTGACCTTTAAGGGGAGATTGTGCGCTGGTCATTTTTTGCTCTTCTGAATATTATACTTAAAAATGTAGATTGTTGAATGTTTCGTATTTCTAATGCTTCAAGTAACAGTTTTGTGTTATGCTAACGATTATTTCTGTGTTGACATCCTTTTAAAAGATAATTATGATCTGTGGGACAAGCTATAGGGAAAATTTGATTTAAATTAACGGGGATATAAAAACATAAATGTTTTACTTACACAGAATTTTAAATATTATGATCGTACACTTGATTCAAAGGAAAATTATTAGATTAAATGTTTCTTTTATCCTATAAAATAAATTATGCAAATTATTGCTAAAGAATTTTAATATTTATGGACTTTATTACCACAGTCTTCTATCATGAATTAACTTTCATCTAGGAGGGGGAAAAGGTCTAGTAAAAATTATTTGTAACAATATGTTGCTGAAGGTATTGTATTTAATGAATTAATAAGTACTTTAAAAAATATATTTTTATTGTTACTTATAATGTATTTTTATTATTGTTTGCATTAAAGTTGGTTTTAGGCGGTTTAACAAACTTTACCGATTCATATTAGAAAGGAAACAGTTATAAAAATTTCATCGTACTATCAAATAGAGCGGTCGCTGTGAAGTAATTTTGGTCACTAATTAGAGATCAAAATTTTGAGTCTTAACAATATTCATAACCCTACTTCATTTTTTGAAGCAAATCATATTGTGCATTCATTATTACCTCAAGTTTTAATTATTCAATAAATGGAAAAGCATCTTTTAAATCGATACTCTGTACACCTGTTTAAAATTCTTGTCTTGGCAAAAACTCTTCTCATAGTATTAGAAGTATAACCGTAAATTTTTCGATTAACGAAGTAACGGATATTAATCGGAGCATAATGTGACAGCTGTATGCTATGTTGATTTCATTTTCAATAATCAGCACAGTATACAACACAATATATATGCTACTATAATTAAAATATATGTTACTATAGTTAAAATATATGTTACTATAGTTTAAATAATCAACGTAGTATACAACAAAATATATATGTTACTATACTTAAAATATATGTTGCTATACTTTTAATAATCAATATATTATATTCCTCTTGTATTGGACTATAACATAAAGTTACTTCTCCTATGTTATCTGGAAAATAATAACTGGAAAAGTTAATACCTCATTTTTATTGTACTCTTAATTTCAATTGAGAGGGTATAGTAATTTAAATTTGGTAATTCTCAAGCGTAGTTAGTTTGCGCCATATCATATTTGGTGCGTTTCTTATTCTCGGCACATTATTTTGTATTCCCTGTCATTTCCCCCATTTTAGCAGAAGTATTTCCTTTTCGTTGTTACAAGGCTGTAGATTTTTTCTACATATTGCTATCCCATGTAGTTAAACCCTTTGAGAATTGGAGGCTTCAGATGTTGTGATACTTGGAAATTCTTAACAAAGCTTCATTTTAGAGCCTTTAGCCTGAATTCTTGATCATGAAATACATCCAAAATTTTCCAGTTCCCATAAACCGCCTTTAAATTTGCTGCCATTATTTTATATAAAGTAAACGGTTTACTTACTTCATATTTAAGATATTCTAGCGATTTTTTGTCCTTCCCGAAAAAGAGACCAGTTTAGTAGTTTCTGAAAAGTTTGGCGGAACTGGCAAACTAACTAGTCTTATATTTTTTTTAATTTATTATTTGGTTAACTTATTATTAACAGGTAAGTACTGTTGGAAACTTTTTCTCATTTTTCTCGTGCTCAGTTACAAATGGGTTTCTTTTTTGAAACAAAGAAATCAAAATGTTGTTTTCATTGATTCTGCGCTGTAGAAACTTAATCATACCTTACATACTATGCCGGGGCTCAGATGGCAAAGTGGTTAGTGACTCTGACTGCCGTACCGAAGGGCCCAGGCTCGATACCCGAAAACGGCATGGATGTAAATAGTCTGTCCCTTCATAGGAGGCAATGGTGGCCCACCCTTTGGGTGCCTCCATAATAAAGCGACCACCAGTTCCGGCCTTAGTAGTGGCCAAAGACTATAATGGTTAGTGCCCGCCATTGGGGAAAATATTACATACTAGATATTGTTACATAGCAAAATTTCTGAAGTATCTTGTTAGAAATGTATTTGTGGTTTTTCCCTGACATTTATCTGAATTTTTATTTATCACAAATTCCACGGTATTACTTTCGTTACAAAAGTATTATAATCGTAAACTGCTTAAGTATGTCAAATACTAATGAAGCGTTTCAGAAAAAAACATTCCGCGCGATAATGACTTTGCTTAAGCAACAGCCATAGTACTTAACGCTTTATGAGTGTGTCCTCGTCGTTTATAAAACAAATTTTGTAACATTAAACTCGAAATTATACTTTTTTAATCCATTAAATTTATTACTTTCATATACATTTAAGCTGTTACTTTACTTTTTTTTTTTTTAAATTGACGACAAATTCCTTGGAATATTTTATTCACTTTGTCATACATTGATGAAAATCTGGTTAAGAACAATGTAAGCATAAAGGGTTTGCACATTTTTTTAAAATGATTTAGTAATTCATTCTAGCCTGCCTGTTTTAAGTAGTTTTCCTTTGCACAACAATTTAGTTAAAAAGAACTGTAATTTTAAAATATTGCAAGTGCGTCACAATAGTAGCTGCTTTGAAGAAAACTTTGGTTCCGGAGAAATTTTACAAGAGCAATTTGAAAGTACTAATATAAAACATGCATAAATGTTACATTCGTAAAAATATTATCTAAAACCACTAGATTGTAAATTTTCTATTGAGAAAAATATACTCATCGCTTGTTACAGACATGTTAGAGAAAAGATTTAATTAAGCATTTCGATAGCAAGGTTGTAGTAAGCACCCTTAAGAGATTGCCTCGGAGCTCACGAAATTATGCGCCAGACGAAGGAAGAAAAGAATTAAGAAATGAAATCCAATATTAAAGTTTTTACTTGTTTAATCATCTTTATCTTATGACCGTGTTTCAGTCACTGAGCAGACTGTTTCGTAAAATGTACTAAAAAAAGTACTCATCGTTTCATAATTAGCTGCTATTCTTAATTCCTTAAATAAAGCAGAAATTCCTTAGATTCATTGTGTCCACCAGTCGCTGAACACTAGTAGTTCAGTCCAAGGTTCGAATCCCGCGAACAGGCTGGCTGCATTAGACGTTTCCGTCATTTTTCCCACGTGTAACATGTATACGAGCCAGTTTCCCTTAAAAAGTCTTCCACGAAGGCATCTCTCCCCTTAGGCATCTCTCCCCTTAGGCAGATAGCCCTGGAGTGCTTTGCCATAATCTAGTAAATCAAACCTTAGATTATTTATGCAATAATGAAACTTTCATTATCCTTTTAATAAATCCATGTTATGTATTACGGTGCATTAAGAATAGTTCATTTAGTTCCTAATATTTAAAACTTACTTTATTGTTTAACAGATTTTAGAATATATCAAAAACATCGCGTTTAACCTACTGACATTTTTATGTGCTCGTAAATAATCACGTTTATTCAGGTAGTTCTGTAATTATCAGTGAGCCCGTTGAGTGTATTTTGATTTAAAAGAAAACTATCAATCATTTCTGAGAGTAACGGATTATGTATTTGAAGAGTTTAAATACAAAATATAATTTTGGATCCATAGCACCCAGCTGTAGGAAGTAAAGGTTCAAATGAAGAAAACTGAATGAAATTACTATTAAACAAATATCTAGTGGCTTTCTATTATGCGTTTACTAAATAAATAAGGAAATGTTTTGTTTGATTTTTCATCTTATGAGCTCTTGTTTTTTTATATTGTTCTGTTGGTGCGTATTTTTGCTATATTATTATATTTCAAATTAATTGAAATAATTAGCGGTTTATAAACTTATCACTGGGATTATGATTCTTGCACCCGTAAAATAATTTATTCAAAATTTTCAAATAATTTCGGAAGTTTTACATAAATATCAGCTCTGTTTCCTAGTACAGTATTATTGCTAGTGTGTATTAATGTGTTCATTGTTTTATTATATCTAATTTTATAAAAAGTTAACACATTCCCAGTTACGAATCTGATTACCTGTTGTGTGTTTGTGTGACATTTTACTTACGAAACTTTGAGTTTTGTTGGAGATACTACGTAGTTTTCTGGCAAAACATTTAAAAATATAAAAAAATAAGAAACTTTCTTGGTTATAGTATAAGAAAAAACTTACAAAAACTTTCTTGGTTATAGTATAAGAAAACATAGTTACGAAATCGAGCATTCATTTTTGTTAACTATTTCTGTTGTATGTCCTGAGGCCAACTAACTGCTGTGATCAACGATTTATAATCACTAAAGTAGAATCGTGCAGTCCTTTTTCTCTAGAAATTTTGGGTCATTCAAGCTCAAAACTATCTTCAAATGTTTCTTGCTTGCACTGCCTTGTTTTCGGAAAGCCGTTTCGAACAAGAAACGTTTCGTTCAATTCTGAATATTGGTCATGCATTGTAGGTACTACGATAAATTACTACTAGAAATTCTCTCCTGCTTTTAGGTAACTCCACTTGAAAACTGTCACCTTTGTCTGATTGTCGTTATCTTACTTTTGGAATCCAGATGAGTGTCAAGCTTTCTCTGAATTTACAGTTTTTATCTCTTTCATAAATACTGAATTTTTTTTCATCCTTCAAACTGACTTTATCTTCAGTAATTCTTAAGTTTTTGGAACGTTACTGGGAGTAAATAAGCCTGTTGTACCACTCTGCATAACAAGTAGCCTGCGCCTCGGAAGGCAATACTTTACTTCACTGAAACCACTATGAACAGTTTTAGCTGAAACACTTTCAACCAGTCACAGAAGTCTACATATACCCATTAAAATAGAGGTATACTAAACACTATTT